GGCGTGGATCAATTCGTGGAGATCAATCAGCTGCCCAGCTTCCGCTTGGCACTGATGCTCACCATGCGCATCCTGGCGAGCAATGTGTTTGAGCCGCAGCAGCGACGTTTTCGCAATATGCAGCCACCCGATCCACTCGCCGAGGACGTGAAGTTCAAGTATCGCCTACAATTGCTTTGGAAGCTGAGCTCGCCCTCCCCAGTGGCCAGGGAGCAGCAGGCAGTCACTTCCGTCTGCTTCTGTCCCAGCAATGGAGACATTATGGCCGTCTCCTACGGCATCTACACCTATGCGAAGCTGGGCAGGAAGCTTCGCCGGGGCTATGTCTATGTGTGGAACATCAAGAATCCCGTGAATCCGGAACGCTGTTACAACTATGCAGTGCCCGTGGTGGTGGTCCAATTCTCGCCTGGATCACCCCAGCTGTTGGCCATTGGCCTGCACAATGGCGACGTGGAGGTTCGTGACATCTCACAGCCGGATCAGCCAGCTCTGGCGCGATCGCAGCGCGCCACCTCGCCCTACTTTGACCCGGTGACGGCCATCAAGTGGATTCCCCCCAGCGATAATGATGTCCTTGCCGAGCAGGACATAACGCCCTTCCTCGCTGCCTCGCAGTCGGGCGCTGTGATCAAGTATCAGCTGATCACTAGTCCACATCTGCTGGGCTTCGAGCAGCAGCATTTCCAGCGTGCCGAGGCCGAGCTGGAGGGGATCAGCGTCACCCAGCCGGCGCATCGTGTGCCGCTGCTCGCCAACCGGTATGTCCAGTGCCTGGAACTCGCCCTGGATCCACTGCAGAGCGATCTCTACTACGTGCTCACCGATGAGGGCACCATGTACAAGTGCTCCACCAACTATCCGCTGCAGCACCTGGAGCTGCGGCAGGTGCACGAAACAGCCGCCGTCTGCATGGACTTCTCACCCTGGTCACCCAAACTTTACCTGACCTGCGGCAGCGACTGGTGAGCAATTTGTGTGGAAGAACCCCAATGGAATCTTACTTCTATGCCTAATCCCTTTCAGGTGCATTCGCATCTGGATGGCTGGCATACTGCTGCCATTGATCACGCTCCAGCATCACTTGTCCCCGGTGCACTGCGCCCGCTGGAGCCGCACCCACTCCACAATTTTGGTCTCGCTCAGCCACAGCACCATCGACATTTGGGATCTGCGCAACAGCACGCTGAAGCCCGTCTCATCCACCACGATAGACGCCAAGATTCACTACACCACCTTCTGGTTGGCTCAGGCTTAGTCCATTTCCCACTGTTCCGTAATCCTCATGTGATTTCTTTTCCAGTTTCTCGCACTGTGGTCGCTGCCTTGCCGTGGGCAATGAGGCGGGCAACCTGCTCATGCTCGCCTTCGAGGATATGCCCTTCCCGCCACACTTCCAGTACAAGCAGCTGAAGCGGGCGCTGTACAAGGCCCTGGAGCTGGACCCAGAGCTGCTGCAGAAGGTCAGGAGCGTGGGCCCCTTTCATTATCCCAACGGAGACAAGCACACATCGGATCAATGAATTGAGATATAATATATGAACATCATTTCAGCAATAATTAAAGTAATATCTCCCATATGTTATCGTATATCCCATAAGACAGCTATTACTATAAATATAGTCGGTTCCCTCATCCGTTTGTTCCATGCAAATCGGAATCAAAACAAAAACTGGGAAAATCCGTCGGCCAAGCTTTGGGTCACCTGTGCCACTTCTCTATCGCTCGTAGCCCCGTTTCGAGGGCTTTGCTATCACAGACATTTGCATATAAAGTCGCAGCACACCTTGAGCCGCCTGATAGCCGCCAAGTTCAAGCCTCGGCCTGCGGTTATTGTGGCTTGATTTTGTTTTCATTCATTCCGCTTCAGCTTTCAGCCTGAGCTCGTCTCGCTTTCAGTTGAGAACGCGACGTTCATGATGTCTCATACGCTGCGCCAGAATCTGCTGCTGCCCACGCCGCCAACTGTGACGCTGCACGACCCACGCACCCACCTGCGCCACCTGCCGCCCGCCTACAGCACCACCCAGACGCCCTACAGTCGGGAGAAGGACTTCGCACCACAGCTGCGCTACCAGCTGGAGCTGCCAAGGAAACCGAAGCTGAGGCCCTGCAAGGTCATCTTTGTGGGCGACTGCGCTGTGGGCAAAACGGCCATGGTGAATCGGTGGGTCAACCGCTGTTCAGTGTGAACGAACATCTATTTCTATTGTGAATAATTCCCTTTAAACTCTTCTTCTTTTCCAGCTTCTGCTATGACAAATTCCAGTCCAACTATAAAGCCACAATTGGCGTTGACTTCGAGCTGGAGAATTTTAGCATACTGGGTCACAATTTCAGCCTGGAAATGTAAGTGGAGCAACTGCATCAACTCTGATACTAATTCCGCTTTTCCTGCAGGTGGGACACGGCTGGCCAGGAGCGTTTCAAGTGCATTGCGGGCGCCTATTATCGTAATGCCAGTGGTAGGTCCAGCTATGCCTATATTCCTACTATTTATATTACCTCTTCTCCAGTTATTGTAGCCGCCTATGACATGTCCAAGCGGGAATCACTGGAGGCAGCCAAGAAATGGCTATCGAGTGCTCTGAATTACAACACGGCACAGAAACCTTTGATATTTCTAGTGGGCACAAAGGCAGATCTATTGGTAAGCTTACGTACATACTAAGCAACTTTATTCTTATATGTCCCACTTCAGACCAAAGAAGAGTTCATGAGAATGGAGCGCATCGCAGGCCTCGCCGCTGCGGAGCTGAGGGCGGAATTTTGGTCCGTATCGGCGCGTTCCGGGTACAAAATCACAGAGTTTTTTCAACGCTTGGCTGCTTTAGCCTTCGAAGCAGCTGTTCAGCAACAATTGAAAACACTGCAAGCAACAGCAAAGGAGCAGACAACACAAACACCGGAAAAATCGCACAAATTTGGTAATGAAAATTGCATTAATAACTGAATTTTAGTAATTTCTCTCTACATATAATTTACAGATTTACGTAATTTCTTTGGCAGTCGCTCTGACAAACAAAAAAGTGGCTGCGCCTGCTGAAAAGCTTGCACTAATTTTATTTAAGTACAATAAACAAGCTTTTACACAAATATTCGTAGAAACTTATAATAAAACGGTTTTAAAATTTGAAATCTAAAACTAGCGCTGCCACTTATTTCAATATTTTTACAGCGTTGCCGTCATACTGCCACATGGTTTGAAAAGCACGCTTACTAGCGTTGCCATTTAACATACTTAACTTTTGAGCGTTGCCACTTGCCACCCATCTGGCCACACTACTGTCAAAAACTGCTTCCGCTGCTTTGTCAAATGCCCCTTAGTTTTCCTTTTCATTTCTTTTTCTCGTAGAAATGCCACCTAAAAAGCCAACCGAGAAATCCGGTAAGGATTTTTCATATAAAATTATATCGAAAATATGTGGTTTTGTCACCTAATTCAAAGTCAAAGCAAGCTGAATGCAATGCAGCATGTGGAAATGTGTTTAATTACAAATTTAACGCAAAATATACACAAAATGTGTCGCCATATTTGCGCCACGTGCGGTGTGGCTGCGACTCACCATTAAAAACAATGGTCAAGAAGATGACAAGTGCTAAATTTAAATGATTTAGTCATTCGATTTTCTAATTAAGTGCATTTGTTAGTAAAAATATTGTGTCCACTTGCTTTAGCGTTGTGTGCTCGTACTTAACCCAACTTTTTGCAGTACTGTTTACTAGTGCTAATTTTTTGTTGATTTATAATTACAGCAAAGCCTGGCGATAAGAAGCCAGAGCAGAAGAAGGCCGCTGCGGCGGCACCTGCTGGTGCCAAGAAGGAGGCAGGGTCTGCAGCCAAGCCAGCTGCGGCCAAAAAGGCAGCTGCGCCCGCTAAGAAGCCCGCAACTGCTGCTGGTGCTGCCAAGAAGCCAGCTGCTGCCGCTGCTAAGAAGCCCGCCCTGAAGAAGCCAGTCACCAAGCCAAAAGCCAAGGATCTGAAGAAGAAAGTGGCCGCTGGCAAGAAGCCCCAGTCTGTGCTGGCTAAGCTCTCCGCCAAGGCACGTGCTGCTTCCAAGGGCAAGAAGCCCGTTGGCAAGGCTGGCGCTAAGCCCGCTAAGGGTACTGCCAAGGCTAAGGCTGTTGCCTTGTTGACTGCCAAGAAGGTTCAGACCAAGGTAAGCGTCCTCAATTAGTTTGCGTCTGAAACATGAATACTAAAGCGATTCCTCTACAGATCATCAAAGGCGCCTTCGGCACACGCACTCGCAAGGTTCGCACCAATGTGCACTTCCGTCGTCCCACAACGTTGAAGCTGCCACGCAATCCTAAATATCCAAGGAAATCGGTGCCCACCAGGAATCGCATGGATGCTTACAACATCATCAAATACCCGTTGACCACGGAAGCAGCGATGAAGAAGATCGAGGATAACAACACTTTGGTCTTCCTCACACATCTGCGCGCCAACAAGAACCACGTGCGTGCCGCAGTGCGCAAGCTCTACGACATTAAGGTGGCTAAGGTTAACATTCTGATCCGGCCCGATGGTCAGAAGAAGGCTTATGTGCGCCTGGCGCGTGACTACGATGCTCTGGATATTGCCAACAAGATCGGCATCATATAAACAAGCAAACAAATGGGAACGTGCATCGCGTTTTACACTTTCACAATAGGATTTTCATTCTATTAAACAACATATAATAACTAAGCTGACAGAAATACTAGAGCGAGGATGAACGTTTCAATGTTGTGTCTGGGTATAATAAAAACAACAAAAAACAAGAAAATTCATTTAATTTCTAAATATTTCAGCAGATAATACCTAAATATTTATTTCAGCTAATTTGTTCCAGAAGCTAATACATCCATCTTTTTTCAAGGGTAAGTTATAAACACTCAAAAGCTTTAAATTTGCAGCTAATTCTCGGATTTCTTGTTTCATTTCAGTTTTGTTCCGGTATGATCTATCAAACTGCTTATAAGGTGTGTATTAGAAGATAATTATAATTGTTTTTGATTCCTTTAGATGATGATATTTGAGTAGGAATCTCATTGAGCTTCAGTCATTCGTTGCAATGAAATTAAATTTCTCAACTGAACACAGCAAAAACTTTGATAACTATGAAATTTGTATAAATGTGAATTAATTGAAATCATGTTTTCTATTGCAGTTAAATGCTGACTGGCTGACCGGCTGTTTATTCCTAATACTTTATAAGGTGTGTATATAAGAAATTCAATCTATAGTTTATAAATATATTTTGATGATACTTTGAGTAGGAATCTCATTGAGCTTCAGTCATTCGTTGCATTGAAATTAACTTTCTCAACTGAATAAATTTGTTTTAATTATTAAATTAAAATGGTTTGAAATTAATCAATTAATAAAAGTATTATTTATTTATTTACAGCACATGGACATGGAATTGAACAATTACTTTATGATTACAAATTAAAGCGGAATATTAAATAAACTGTATAATATATATATATAAAACTTTGTACTTTATTTCAATATCTACGAAATTGTTTTCTAAACTTGTCATAATGATAGTCATCTGTCGCACGCTTGACTCCATTGGGATTCGTTTGATTTCTGGCGGATTTGTTGTCGGCTTCCCTATTCTCACGCTTGCGCCTGCGTTGTTCACTGCTGTCCTCGATTTTAACTGGAGATAAATAAATCAAAATACATATAATATATTTAAATAGAAATTCCAGTAGCTTAGTAACAGCTTACAGCGGTTGTGTTGCATAAAGTTAACAGCCATATTGGTGGGCACAAACTGTGAGGGCCCATCCTTTTTGTTCTTAGCATCCTGTAGCAGCTTTTGCTTAGCTTCTTCCGTTGCTTCAATGTTGTGTATCTTGGCCTGGATGCCAAGGTCCACTTCGGGTATGCCATTGAGCATCTGGTTGGACAACATTTCTTCAGATCTGTGCGAGGAGGATTGCCGCAGATGTTCGGGCAGGGCGTAAAGTGCCGCATCTTCGGGTGACATATATTTGTGGGCATCGCGGTCGTCACGATCATTGGAATTTTCATCTGCAGCACCGCCTTTGCGCTTTTGCAGTTCTTGCTCAATGTATTTCATCATTTCCTCGTCTTCGTCACGCTTGTTTGTTTCAGCAGAGAACTGTGTTCCAATACCCACGTCATAGGCATCATCAACTTCCTTCATTTTGCCCGATTTTATTGTTTGCATGTTGACCAGTCCACCGATTTTCACATTGAACGGATCCTTTATGGCCAGCTCCTCCTCCGGTGCCACTTTTTTGCCCAGCGCCAGACCCACTAGGCTAACACCATTGGGGCGTTGACGTAGTCGCTGTCGCTCCTTGATTTCATCCAGCGTGAGCCTTTTTTAAGTAGACATTAATATATATATTTATAATATTTTATACGAATATATTTACTGTTCCTCATTGTCGCCATCATCAGAGTTTTTGCGCTGTCGCAGATTTTTGCGGGGCTTTTTCTTGAAAACCACTTTGGTAGGCTCTTCCACAACTTCATTTTTTTCATTATCATCAGTTTGCATATTTTAAAATGTAAAAATATTAGCTTTCAAACTAAAATAAACCAAATTGTTTATTTGTTTACAATACTCAGTGCTCTTTCTACAACATCGATAGGATATCGCAAATTTGCAAATATATCGATAGTTAGAGTTGCATCGGAAGCGGCGTCGCCTGGTAGACAAAATCGATTTTTCTTGTGTTTGCAAACTGCACATTTGGCGGAGCAGCTGCGCCGTTCCAAACGCTGATGCATACGGAAAAGTAAACGTTTAAATAAATTACACATAGCGAGCGAACAGCCGGTACAACATGTACAACGGCATTGGATTAACAACGCCGCGTGGCTCCGGCACCAATGGACATGTGCAGCGCAATTGGGCATTTGTGCGACCGGGCAAAAAGGACAAGGACTATCGTGCTGAGGATGACACCAAAAAGCTAGACGCCCAACTGAATCGGCCTCCTAACAAGGAGATACTTGACCACGATCGCAAGCGAAAAATCGAAGTGAAGTGCATTGAATTCGAGGAAATACTCGAGAAGCAAGGGTAAGTTTGCATACATATGTATGTGAAGCAATGTTAAATGAGACACTGCCACAGTCAGTCAGCTCTAGCAGTTGACTCCTGCATGCGTAATGCAATATTCGGTGTTATATAACACCGGTGGCCAACACTGTGCACATTCGGTCCAACATGCATTTCTCTCCCAATGCGCTAATATTTACGTTCGCTCCCCGCTGTCAGCCGCCTGCTACTGCTACTGCTGCTGCTGTTTACATTCGGCGCCTGGTAGCCGTGAGAGAGCGCGCACGCACGCATACGCGCTCAGTAGCGGTAAATGGCAGCAACCACCATCACCACCACCGTAAAAAGCACTGCCTCTGCTCCTTGACAGCCCAGCCACCCTCTCAGCTTTGCTCTGACAGAGAGCTGAGCACTTGTCGTGCTTTTCAGCGTGACACGAAAAGGAATACACAACTTGACGTAGAAAAATTTAATAATATTGTATGAAAATCAGTTTAAAGAAAGAAAATATTATGATTAATGACCCTAGATTCCCTTTAATATATTCAACTGATAGTTCTTGCATAGATCTTATATTGAATCGACTTCCGCTTCCGTCACATTTCGTAGCAAGTATTGTGAAACGGCCATCTCTAGTTTGGCGCTCTTCCATTGGCCGCACACTCACTGCGGCCCAGGCTGAGCCTGGTCTGGCCTTACTCGTTGCTGGTGGTGGAAGACTGCATTTCAGTTGTAGAGATTGCTTCAATAGAGCACATCCGCGTTCAACAATAAAGCGGAAAACTCTATGAAATACCACAAAAACCCGTTAAAGTTATATTTATAAACAATATAGAACGAGCTAAAAATCAATAATTCAAATTAGATTTAAACTGTGAAATAAATTAAATTTGAATCTATGCTCAAGTCTTAAAGGTATTTTAGTAACACTCGGAAATTAAATTTAAATTAAATTAAATCTGTATTATTTCCTTGTTTATTGGCAGACGCACACCGGAGGAGATAAAGTCGCAAGTGGATTCATATCGCCAGAAATTAATGGGCCAAGGCAAAACCGATTTAGCCAAGGATGAATTTGGACGCGTAGCGTAAGTAGCTCTCAATTGTTGTTCCATAATAGCTTAAGTATAGTTAGTTATGTAATTTAAACAAAATATTGTGTGCCGCGCTCACACACACCCATTGGACAAATCAATAAAGCCTTCAACTTAGTTGCCTTCCCGGTCGCGTGTCCAACTCAACTCAAATCTCAGCCAGCTGGCCCAGTGGGCCAAAGCCCACATGCGCAAGAACAACAAACCAAACAACCCACCCGCTGGTCCAGGCGCCAATCAGAACGCAGCCAGTTGTAGAGAAAATGCTGCGGCCGAGATGAAATTTAGATTTTCGGCAGTCACTTCAAGTCTTCCAAAGCCAAATGTTTGGCGAACGCGCTCAGGAAATACACAAATAATAAAAATATAAAAAAAAATTAATACTAGTACTTAAAAGCAATAATAAATAGTAAATTAAAATAAAAGTTAAGTTTAGTGCAAAAACAACAAAAGACGCCGACAGGAAACATGAAAGCATTGGAAAATGTTGCTGCTGCTGCAGCGCTGGAAAAATCAATATTTGGCACATACAAAAAAACAAATTGAGGAAAATGCGGCTAAGCGAAAATGCAATCGATACGCCAATGCCCAATGCGCAGCCCCTCAAGTGTGCAGCTAAGCCCATCATAGCCATGGACAGGCAACGCTGCTACTGCTGCTGCTGGTGGCTACCAGCTCATCCAATCCACAAGAGCTTAACAGCTATCAAGTCGCCGTCTCCGTCGTCGCCGTTGTCTTTATTCTAGTGGTTGCTGTTGTTGTTTGGAGCATTGAGCTCTCCCATACCAAACTGTAATGTGAGCTCCGGCACCCAAAGACCCAAATACCCAAACCAAAAGCAACAAATCACTAAATAAGTCTTCCAAACTTAGCACGTAATTAGAAATTAGTATTTAGTCTTTAACTGAAGTCGGCGCTAATCGTTTGCCCAAGCGGAGTAATACGAGAAAAATATCTACTTAAAAATCCAAACTTTATATAATATTATATGGAAAATCCAACGTCTTCCAAATGCTGGATAAAAACAACAAAGTAAACAAATTTATTAAAGAGCAAATGTAGCGAAAGTTTCAAGCAAATGCTAATCCAACGTCTTCCAAAGTGTTAAATATAATACAACAAATAAATATTTATTTTTATATTAAACAAATTTATAAATAATATATCCACAAACGTGTCTATAAACAAATAAAAATAAAATAAGAACATATTGAACTAAATTTGAAAAAAAAAAAAAAAAAAAAACCATAAAGATAAAACAGTAAATTATATACACAAATTTTACAAGGTATATATACAAAATTCTAATTTCATTATATGAAAATAACTCTAGCAAATATATAAAAAAAAAAGTCTCCGGTCTTCCAACAAAAAAATATACAATATATATATTTATATACAATAAAAGCACTATTAATAAAAATCCTTAATAAATTGTGGAAAAAAAACACTATAAATAAATTAATAAATATAATAAAACAAAATATATTAATCAATCCATTGTCTTCCTCTACAAATTATGGAATAAAGATTAATATTTTTGTAATAAAAAATATATATAAATAAAAATAAATAATAATAATAACAGTAATCTATGATCCACGGTCTTCCTAAAACAAATGTGGAAAGTAAACAAACTAAAATGTAACAAAATAAAAATTCTAATTAGAGGAAATGCTCCAAAATCTTCGTAAAAAAAAAAATTTTTGATAAAATTATATAACGAAATAAAAATAAATTGAAATATAAACGCGCTCTGCTTAAATTAACAAAAATAAATATATAAATAAATAAAAAATAAACAACCCCCAACTGAAGAAGAGAACTCTCCAAAATGCTCTCCTCGGAAATCTACACAAACACCACAACAACCACTGCAACGGCAACGGCAACGGCCACCGCAATGGCCACAGCCACCTCGACCTCCGCGTCCAACTCGGAGGCGAGAAGCACGACGAGAGCCTTCGCCACGCTGCAGGTCGTCAAGGCAAAGAAGCGGCGTAAACGTCGTAAACGCGCAGGACACGCAACCGGCTGCGTCAACAACAACAACAACAACGGCAGCAAGAACCACAGCTGCAGCAGCAGCAGCAACAACAACAACCCCAATGCGATTGTGGGGTGTGTGGCTGGCACAGTCGGTGGCAGGAAATGCAAGGCGCAATACTTCCAGCACGACAATCGCGAGTATATAGCCAAAT